TCAGGTTCCCATTAGTAGCTTCCACCTTATTTGCCCAAGAATCCGGGTTCCATGGTCCACTAATCATACTCTTTGATGTCCCGAGAGTCTCACGGCCATATTCAACTGGTTCATATCTATTGTCATACTCCATTTCAGTAGTCAACGACCTCTGAAGATTGGGACCCCTGTGGCCACTAGTGCCATTCTTTCTCGATGAATGACCTTGTGCAAGATTACTTAATCCTTGCTTGATTGATGCACTTCCTAAACCAACTACCTCGCTAAGAAATGATTTTTTATCTTCTGCTGGTGGTTCATAATTTGAGTTCCCAAAACCTTGAATTCGACTGTTAAGATTCTCAGATGGGGCAGGCCTGTTGTCCTCTTCAGCAAAGATCGCAGAAATGGCGTCCTGAGCAGTATCCCTCACAGCTTTATTAAGTGCATCACCTTTAAGGGGGTCTGGTTGTCCCTTGTAATGAAGTAACTGGCGGACAGCCACAGAGTGTCTCTGCATTTCCCTTCTGAATTCCACACCAGATTTCCCAATTCCATACTTAATCAACCTGAGAGCCTGTAGTGAAATCAAGGCATAAATCCAAAATTTTAAAAAACAAGAACCATATATAATAGAAATCATTTAACTGAAAAAACTCGTGTTCTTGTGTTCTTGTGTTCATTCTTCCATCAACATTTGAACAGTATCAAATTTAAAAACCAAAGAAGAATCAGAGAACAAAAGTCCTAATTGCAGGGATCAAAAATACTACTCGCTCATAACATATCTACCAATTAAGTTGAAAATTAACACGAGAGAAATCAGAACAAGCAAAAAGAAAAAATTATAGACACCTTCTGTTTGACAATCGGGCTCTTATGTTCAAGCCTCTTCAAGATAAATTCCGAAAATTCCTTGACAATACTGACATGCGAAGATCTCAACACTTCAGAAATCTCTTCCAATTTGTACACCGGCGTGACCTTATCCTCATCCGAAGTCGCCGCATCGATCATACGCGACCTCCAGTACGACTCTACAGCTCTCCGACTCGAATCCATATTGACCAATGAAAATCACCAACTCAAAAACAATCGCTTCAGACCCGATCCACCCTAAATCAATCCCACCCCTGATCCAAATCCCAGAAAGCAAAGAAATGCAGAAAACCCTTTGGCTTAGTCGATGTTTTCCTTGTTCTCCAAGCAGTCTCACCGCGCAAACCAACTCAGATTCGTCTGGAATTGAAACTTTTGCAGCTCCCAATTCAGGCGATCTTTGTCCGGAGATCGTCAAGGGGTAGACGTGAAACGTAATTGGGTATCGGAATTGAGGTCCTAGCAATCTGAAGAGGGAAAAAAATGGCGGAAAATTGGAGGAATTTTGGTTTCACCCGGTCCGCAAAGGTGACGACCACATGTCGGCCCACAGCTGAAATTCACGTTTACAATGCCACCTGCGAATTGCGATGAATTCCTTGCTTTGCCTTCTTCTAGATTTTTCCTTCTGAAATAATAAAAGTCTAATTTTTCCCTCTTTTATTTTCCCTCTCTTTTAGTCCTTCGATGCAAATATATTATATATATATATATATACAAACAAGTGTAAAATTAAATTTTTAATCTCTTAAAGAGCTAAAATTTAGTTTATATGGTTTTAAGTAATGGGTTAAATTACCAATTTAATTCACTCCATTGTCAAGAAAAAAAAAAAAAAAGTAAAATAAAAAGTAAAAAAATTAATTTACCCCTGTTGTTCAGTTGCTCAAAAAAGGGAAGGAGATGAAGCCATGGCAAGCCCAAGATTCCAAGCGCCAAGCAAACTCTTCGTTAAGAACTCGACCATAGCAACGCCAGCATGAGCTTCGACACTATGAGAGTTCAATCCTCAACCCCTCAAAGCCCCACTTCCAATCGGAGGCTCGAGCGTGCCTTCTCTTCTCGCAGAGCCCCTCATCACAGCGGCGATTTTGATGACGACGATGACCATGATGTTTCCAAGACGAAGAAGAACAGATTTTCCTTATTCACTCACCGCCTTTCCATTTACTTCACTCGAATCGGACCCATTTGGGCCTGCCTTGCGCTCGTTGGTTTAATCCTTCTCATGATTTCGTCCTTGATATTCTTTCACTCCCGCAGATTTGTTTGCGTTTCGTCTTACGATCCTGTTTCCCGCTCTGGGTTCTTTGGCATGGATGGGCTCGATTCCGATTTCGGTTCTCTTGGTGTGCCCTGGTGTAAGTTTTCTTGCTTATCACTTTTGGATCTGATCCATTGTAGTTCTCTGGAAATGTTGAGTTTTAGATCCGTGTTCCGGGTTTATGGCGGTCTGTATATAATGCAAAAAATGGAGAAGAACTATCGTTAATTTGTTTTGGGTATGATGAATTGGTTACATCGAAAACGGGGCGTTGTTTATAGAATTGAATCTGTGTTATCGTAGTTTGAATTTGTTTCGTATCATCCGAGCTTTTCCTAATTTGGAACATTAAATATTTTCTTTACTCAATCTTGGACTGTCTATTGTGGCCTCGGCATTGATCCGTTCCTCGAGTAATGGCTAGGCTATTGTTGAGCAACCTTTAATTTCAAGTTATGTGATAAAAGTGAAGAGTCAAGGCAATATTTAATAATGTTAGAATTGTTGGTTTACGATTAAGATGCCTTATTAATGAACTACTATTCTCATTGACTTCACAGTCCTGGGTTCTAGTTCTAGTCTGATTAAATGTTATGAAATTCCTAAAATTTTTGCTTGTTTGAATCCTTATAATCCCATCCTTGGCAAAAGGCAGATCGAAACATGGAAAGACAGTTGAATGGACTGCAAAAGATTTACTAAAGGGCTTGGAAGAGTTTGTACCAATTTATGAGACTCGACCAATAAAGAACAACCTGTTTGGTATGGGCTTTGATCATAGCTTTGGCCTTTGGTTCATTGCTCGTTGGCTAAAACCAGATTTGATGATTGAAAGTGGCGCATTCAAGGGACATTCAACTTGGGTGTTGCGGCAAGCAATGCCAGACACACCGATTATTTCACTCTCACCCCGTCACCCCGAAAAATACTTGAAGAAGGGACCTGCTTACGTTGATGCTAACTGCACATATTTTGCTGGAAAGGACTTCGTAGATTTTGGAAGTGTTTCCTGGAATAGTGTGATGAAGCAACATGGAATTGATGATCTTAGCCGTGTTCTTGTATTTTTCGACGACCATCAGAATGAATTAAAGAGGTATCCTTGAGTTTCATTGCAATCAATTATTTTTGTTCACCGTCTATTTATGCACACTCTATTATGCTGAAAATTTGTCTTGTAATTTGAGGGCAGAATAAGTCAGGCTCTGAAAGTTGGCTTTCAACACCTTGTTTTTGAGGATAACTACGATACTGGCACAGGAGATCACTATTCTTTAAGGCAGATGTGCGATCAGTTCTATATTAGAGGTGCCTGCTCTTCCACTTGTATCTCGTTCCACTTTGCTTTGTTTTTTATACTCTATATGAATGTTCCCACCATCTATTTGGCTAATCAGATAATGGTTGTCTCATAAAGTGCCTTCCTTAGTACAAAGAAACTGTAACCTAATGAGAAATTTAGAACTGATTTATGTGATCCTCATAATATGTAACAGCCCCGCTGCCCCCGCCGCTAGCAGATATTGTCCTCTTTGGGCTTTTCCTTTTGGACTTCCCTCAAGGTTTTAAAACACGTCTCTTCCCCTCAAGGTCTTTTGAACTTTCCCTTATGGGCTTTTTCTTTTGGGTTTTCCCACAAGGTTTTAAAACGCGTCTCTTCCCCACACCCTTATAAGGAATGTTTCGTTCTCCTCTCCGACTGATGTGAGATCTCACGTAATATTTCTAGGGCATAATAAAATCAAAATTATATTCCAGCGCTACTTCCAATGATTTGAAAGTGATTCTGCGAGTCTGTGACAATTTAAGTTGAAGTTAATTTTAATGCTGGTATATTTCTGATTTAGGAGGTGGGCACAGTTGCTTCAAGGACAGCGATGAAGCCAGAATCAGAGCAAAAAGGAAGTTGTTCTGGGAAAAGGCAGTGGATGTAGAAGAACTTTGTGGACCGTATGAGGCTTGGTGGGGTGTCCGAGGCTACATGCGTGATGATTTTAACCACAGCAATAGGGCCATCTCCCACGCAGAGCACCTCCAGAACAGCAGGTACTTGGAGTCGATTCTTGATGTGTATTGGGAGCTCCCTCCAGTTGCTGGCCCTTCTTTAACACATCAGACTAGGTACGATCCCGCTCGTGTTTCGATCCCTATTGTGGAAGATGGCAGGTACGGTTTGTTCCAGCGACTTGGTTTAACTCGACTTGAGACTTGTGTATTTAATGGATACACACAAATGGTCTATATTCAGATATCTAAACAATAGTTGTTAGGCATTTTACTCTACCTGTCAATAGCTTGTAGTCCTTTTTCCTATACCACACTGTTATTCAAAATTTGAGTCAATTAAGGGACAAATGCTTTGTGTTCAAACATATTCCTAGTGGTTTTGTTGGTGGCAGTTTTATATATTGGCCACACTCAGATCCCTTGCTTGTCTTATCTCGCACTGTTGTAGCATATCGGACCTCAAATTGAGTTTAGCAAACTGTTTACCCCTTCGTAGCATATCGGATCTCCTGTTACCACGTCAAATTGTTGGTCTCGTGAACATATAATTTGACCCATAAATTTTAACAAGTTTGGACCTTTGGATACATTTAATAAATTTATAGTTTATACTTTGCTCAACTAAATAATTGTTAATGAATTTAACTCAAGTATATTCAATTATTAATACCGTCCTGAAACAATTAATGAATTTTAAATGAATACCAAACTCATTTTTTAATGGTTAAAAGTGAATATAATTTAACAGAAATCAAATATACTCTTAATTTAATTTGATTTAATTGAGAGGTTAAAGGTGGCGTCATATTTATCCCAATTTGCCACATTTATTTTATTTTGAGGAAAAAATAATTGGACCGTGTTTGGAGAAGAGGATCCAATTTCTGCTGCCCGTGAGAAAAAGGGCACACAGACCCAAGCGGAGCCGATTGATGAGGTAGCGGTTGCTCCGCGTTTGGCGTTCTGTACGAGAACTGAGCGTCGCTCTTTACCAATCACTCCTCTTCGTCTCCACTTACTCTCCCGCCATTAACAGCGCCACGGACCTCTCCCTTCTTCGCTTCGCGCTGCAACTCATCCATTTGTCATGGTCATAGAATCCTCAGCTGCAGCTCCCGCCAGCTCCTCCTCTTCGTCTTCGCCTTCCACCAGCACCTCCCATCTTTCTCCACCTCCTGAAGATGCATGGACTCTTGCTCATCAGCGGCTACTTCCTCGCTGGAAATCTCTTTCCCAGTCTCACTTGGTACCTTCATCCCTCTCTCTTTGTCTCGCACCCAGCCTAATTTTGTCTGCTTATTTGTTCCCTTTTTTATTTGTTCATAGTTGCCTTTTGATTCTGTGGCGTACGTCTTTTTGTCCGTTCGTTTCTATGTATATACTAGAGTTTGTTTCTAATTAATAGCTTTACCGAAGATCATTTCTGACACATGGTTGGGAAAGATTGCATTCGTGTTAATTCGGCTTCACTTTCTGTTTGTTTCGTTGTCCAAGCCATGCGAGAGTTAAATTTTCTTCTACTTGCACCTTGAACAGTACATGTATTGTAATTTGATATTGGTTGATACATGTGTACTAATTTATGATACTGGAGTCTTTTTTTTTTCTTTTCCTTTTCTTTTCTATCTATTCTGCAGTCGCCAATTCCAATTTCGATATCGAAAGTTAATCAAGTGGATGCGGCGCGGCTAGATATTGAAATGTCAGCCATGTTGAAAGAGCAGTTGGTTAAGGTCTTCGCTTTGATGAAGGTATATGTTGCTTGTTATTCGGGCATTGAGATGTAGATACTTGGCTAGTAAAGTTATTTAGGCGTCATAAAGTATTTTCTTCTACTTTGATGGATTAGCCAGGAATGTTGTTTCAATATGAAGCAGAGCTTGATGCTTTTCTGGCGTTCCTTATTTGGCGCTTTTCAATTTGGGTAGACAAGCCCACACCAGGAATTGCTCTGATGAATCTGCGGTATAGAGATGAGCGTGCAATGGAAATTCCAGGAAAAGGTGAAATGATCTAAACATCTCCCTGCCATGCTCTACTTGTTTAACTGATTGTTACGGTCAGTACGGTGTAGGAATGTAATTGAATTTATCCAAACTAACATGTAAAATAAATAATTATAAATTGAGTACGAAGTTGAGAATTAAAACTGTAGCAACCATGGAACTGCTGTTGTCAAATCTTCATAGCAATGTGTGGCAGTCACTTACTAATTCCTTTATTGAAAACTATAATCAATTTTTTCTGGCTCTGGACTTCTTCTGCAATACAGTCAGAACTGGATTGGAAGGACCTGGCCTCACAGTTGCTCAAAAGATTTGGTATTGCGTGGCCACTGTGGGTGGTCAATACATTTGGACTCGGTTACAATCATTTTCTGCTTTTCGTAGATGGGGAGATTCAGAGCAGGTACTGGTTTTCAGAAACTCACCACCCCTACCATGTGGACTACCTTCTTGTTATGTTGGTATGGTTGTTGAATAAAATAGGTATTCATATGTCCCTGTATTTTTTTTTCAGAGGTCCTTGGCGAGGCGAGCATGGCTTTTGATTCAGCGCATTGAAGGAATATACAAAGCTGCTGCATTTGGCAACTTGCTCATATTTCTTTACACAGGAAGGTAGGTTTTCTGCATCTGATAAGCCGGATTAGACTATCGATATCAAGATTTCAAATTTTCACATACCTTGATGAATATTTTTGTGAATAATTTTTTTTATATAAATTATTTAAATTAATAATTAAGTTTTCCCCCCTTTTTCTTAACTTTTAAACTAAGTCATAGATCTTGTTATCAATGTTTTAAAAGGCTTAAGGCGGGCCTTGGGGCATGAGGTGGTATGAGGCATAAGCCTTATTTTAAATTTAAAAAATGTACATAAAACATAAAGCATTATATGCTCCTAACGATATAATATTTCTTAATGTACCGGACATACTAAATGTTCAATAACTAATGCATAATAGTAGTAAGAACTACAAACCAATTAGACATTTGGGAAATAAAAAGTCTTCTTCAAAAGAAAATAATGAATAATAGTAGTAAGTAGCTAGTTAGAACCATTAAGAAAGAGAACTTTAGGCGGGAAAACAAATCAGAACATAAAAATAACTGCTAATTAAAAGAAGAAAACAGAAAAAAATTGAAATGATAATTATTTAACTAATATTAAGAAAGAAAACAAAGAAGACAATCGAATGGGAAAGAAAATAATAATCAAGATTCAAATATAGAGAAAAAAAAAAAGCAAAATAGAACGGAAAGAAAAATAATAATCGAAACTCAAAAGAAAAGAAAAGAAAAGAAAGTCGAACAAACAAAGAACAAAATGAAAACGGAAGTAGTAAGAAAAAAATATTAAACTCGCTATGCAAGTGAACAAATAAAACAAAAACAAGAACAACAAGATGAAGAAGAATGAAACTCGCTTTTGTTGTGTTGTGTTTTCGTCAAATAGTGATTCCTTGCAGTTTTTTTTCTTTGCGTAATGTTCACTTCAAATAACACTTGCACAAAAAGGAAAAGCTTTCAAGTATTTTGTTTCCCAAGTACAGTTCTTTATGTTTTCTTCAATATTCTCGCTACCATAAATTAGTATGAAGACATCACCAACTTCAATTAAATGCACCGTTGGATGATGCATTGCATGGGCACTTGGCCCACCAACCAATATCAAAGGCTTACGCCTTGTAGCCTTTGAGACTTACGCCTCTCTCAACAGAGGCGCGCAAGCCTCATATTACACTCTCAAGGCGTAAGCCTTAAAGCATGAATCTGCCGCATCACCTTGAGGCGCGCCTCAAGATTTATGCCGTGACCGATTTTTAAAACGTGGCCTGTTATTAGTTTTTATATTTATATTGTGATTGTATATAAAAGATATTAGAGATATCGATTAATCTTCAATATTTATGTTGAACTCTCCAATTTACGGAAATATCATCATATTAATGGTTGACGGATATTTTCATCCTTGCTGATAAGTTAACTTTTCAGTGAACTGTTATACTTTGAGCGGCTTGAAGTGATTATTTGTTAAATATTAGTGCTAAAAGGGCATTTTCGAAAGAATCTGCCCAAGTAAAAAGCATACTTACCTGTGTCAAATGGCATCTCTTCAACTATTATGTTTCAGTTTGCAGTGGAAAAAGGAAATTATTTTTCCATCAATAATGTAGAAGTTTATTCAGTAGAAACAAAAGAATGGATGCTTCATTTTTATTTATCATTTAAAAATTAATATTTAATGCATCTGCTAATCTGTAGGGAGCGGTAAGTTATTTTGTCATCAGTCTGAATTGGTATTTTGCAGATACATCTGACTGCACCACTTTTCACTCTATTGCTGAATCTTGTGCATTGTTGGTTGTCACATATGCTTTTCACTCAGTTGTGTTGGTTAAATTGTTGTAAGTTTTTGTAGTGGAACTCAAATAAAAATTGGTGGCTTGTCGACTATCATAAGTAGTTTACTTTCTGCCCAACTCAGCATCGTATTTTTTGTGTGGTGCAGGTATAGAAATCTTGTCGAGAGAGTTCTCAGAGCCAGGCTTGTTTATGGGAGTCCTAATATGAACAGGGCTGTCAGCTTTGAGTATATGAATCGCCAGTTAGTGTGGAATGAATTCTCGGTAATTTTCTGTCCTTTATAGTTAGTTGCAGAAGTATTGGAACTCTTATTTTGGCTTAGAACTTATTCACTTATTGCTTCATTTCAACAAAATATAGTCTCCGAACGTACTATTGTTCTTAACCATATGATGATTAGCTCACCCTCTTCCCTTTCCTCCTGAAGTAGAAATCTATCTCAGGTCGAGCATGGTATATATTCTCAGATTGTGTGCTGTTTTAAGTTTAGCGTGGAAAAACTGTGTGTTTGACGAAAAGTTATCATCTAGATAGAATTCAAATCAACTACAAGTTTCAAGTAGTTCATATAGGATATTCATTTGGTTTACAGTGGTTAAGATCGTCTACTATACTCATGCGTGCATGAATAATATGGGAAGGGTTTCAATTTTCTTTTGCCCAATGCTTCATCACAATTTTATTATCCATAGTAGGGAACATTTGCCCTCGAGAATTTATTTTTCTGTGCTAATGGCAGGAAATGTTGCTGTTGCTTCTTCCTCTTCTAAATTCTTCCTCTGTTAGAAACTTTCTTCGTCCATTTTCCAAGGAGAAGTCCTCAAGCTCAGCCGAGGATGACAGTGCTTGTCCAATTTGCCTGGCAAGTCCAACGATTCCATTTCTGGCTTTGCCTTGTCAACACAGGTCAGGCCTTTTTATCACATCACTCTATCTTTTAAACCAAAAAACTACTATTTGTTATATAAAAAAGGCAGAAACTCAACGATAGAATTAGGATGCATTTGTTCGAAAGACAGACAAAACAAGGAGGAGACGTGACGATAGAATTATTTCTTTAATGAATATAGCTTGGACGTGCATATTACAGATTTCGTTCAAAAACAAAAAAAATTGACTATGGTAATAAAATAAACGTTGTAAATCTAACAACGTCGATTGATGTAATTAGTTCTAAATGTTAAAACTTCGCAAAGTGAAAGTATATACGCTAACCAAATAAACAAATTTTAAATAATTCAATGTTTAACGTAAAGTTTTGTAATGAAAATTCCAGAGAGATTTATGTCCATACGATCATATATTTAAAATAGAAACATAAGAAACAAGTCTATTTCGCATTCATCATCTTTCACCAATGTTTTTGAGTTGTTTCGACAGTCCAGGCTTTTTATGTTCACAATTAGACATTGAAAAGAACAACAGAATATTTGATTCAAGATTTAAGATTCTGATTTAACTGTCGGTTACTGTCGACCAACGCTCGTAGACAAAGATGGCTGCATTTCATGTCTATATAATTGTTTACATTGAATCTCACAGGTTCAACTGGGGTGAGATGGAGATAAGTATTACTAACGTCCATTGGTTTTTTTTTTTTCTGACAGATACTGTTACTATTGCCTCCGAACACGATGCATGGCAGCTCAATCATTTAGATGTTCAAGATGCAGCGAGCCTGTGGTGGCCATGCAGCGGTATGTCGAAGGCACTAGTGCAAATCCCAAACGGTAATCCCTGGGCAGAGGGAGCAAATACAATTTATAGTGATTATAATAAGAAAAAGGAAAATTGCTTCAATGTTGCAATTAATTTTTTTTTGTTGCTTGAAGCATAAATGCTTACAGAAAATCAAATTCCCTGGAAAAGCATATGTTGTATTGTGTAGTAGCCGTAGGGGGGCTCATTCTTTTTAACTTTCCTGGTACATTTGTAGTATAGGTACTCGCTGATTATCTTGTGATTAATTCCCTGCAGTTACAAGAGGAAACATTATGCTGTCTTTCTTTCTTTTTCCTTTTTTTCTTATAAAGGCACAAAGAGAGGTAGGAGAGTATTTCAACCCAAGATAGAAATTTATATATTTTCAGTTCCTGGTTCGACCATGGTTCAATTAGTTTAGTCATGTATCCTCAACTAAGAGGTTAGATGTTCGGAGCCTCCTCAAAACATGTTCTTGAACTTGAAATCTTGTGCCATCCTTAGTTGATAATAAATCTTGTCTTGTTTGCTTGGTATAAAATCAATCTTGCCTGTGTAAACTTTATAATGATAAACTTTTGTGCAAGTTTAATTCTAGTTTTGTTGTTCGCTATAATTATTTTAACCTGTTTCATTGATCCTCTTCTCTAGTTCTGTGTCTATAGTCTGTGTAACAGGGCAATTGGACCACTTTAGACGGTGTAGATTGAAAATCAACACTTTCTGACTTCTTTGGTCTTTCCATCTCCACAGAGATGGATAAATTTTGGAACGAGTCTAATCATCAACAACTTTAGAATATTGGATTGATGATGTTTGAAATATTGGTGACAGTGGTTGCACTTTCAAAACATGTAATAATGGTAGTTTTGCACTTTCCACGCTTGTTTATTTTTTCCTCAGGACTAGGTGGTCACTTTCCCACGGAAGAGTAGTCTATTTTTGTCTGCTGTCTTGTGTTAATTTCTTTATTTCCTTGATACCTTGATATTATTTAGTGCTAATTACATAAATTAATAGGCGGGACGGAGGAGTATTACATAGTTCAGTAGATGTGATATTAATATTAAATAGATTTTTCTCTACTAAATAAAGAGGAATATGATAATTTTTTATACAAATGGTTTAAAATAAACTTAAAAATTAAATACATGTAGATTTTTCAATCTCAAGTTTGGTAGAACCATGAACTAAACATCCTCATTACCAATTATGGATATAATTTTATTTATTTATTTATTATTATTATTATTATTTAGGCGCGGAAGGGAGCGGGTATATTGGTTTTTTCTAACGGCCCTCTTTTGATTTCGACTAAAAGTCATATAGATTGGTCATTTGGCTATTTTTCTACAATAATAAAAAATCAAAATTGTCAAAATACTTTATTTTCTAAAAAATAAATCTTATTTGTAAAATGAACAGAGCTACCACTTTTGGTATAAAAGGAAAAGAAAAAAGTTCTTTTGCACGCCAATCTATGACGATTTCAATCATTAAGAAGTAGAAAAAAAAATAACACATCATTTATTTGAATTAATTACCTTTTTAATATAATAGTAAATGTTTAGTGGACTTAATCAATGACATTCATCACATATTTCGAGAGTTTATGATTTTTTTATTCCCTAATATCTGCATCAATTGTTTTCTTTCCCAATTTTTAAACCTACTAATAAAAAAAACCCAACTCATACCAAAATATATATATATAAAAAAAAAAGACCAAAATTGACGTCATGTACGATCAAATAATAAAATACTTGTCAGCCGATCATTTTTAAAATAGGATCTTTTAGTTTTAAAAAAGAAGGTAGAATTTGTATTAACCTATAAAACTTCACCACACAATTAATAATATAACTTACATAATAATAATAAAAAAAATCTTTACATATATATATAATAAAATAAATATTCAATTATAATTTCATCCAATATTCATACTGCTCTTTTAATTTAAAATTTTGAAGAGACAAATTCATAAGTTGAAAGCCAAGCGTGACGTCATTTATTACATCATTTACATAAATTAATTGGTAAATTATTCAAAAGATTAAATAAATATTAAAAATATAGGGATGACATTCATCAATCTCAAGGACATTCCCATGGCCTTCCATTTCTCCTCCTCCATTATTTTATGAATCCACTTAGATCTTGCACCACACACATATTATATTATATTCTAAATTAATGTGTGATTATTACAGAAATATATAATAAGTAGTACATAAACTATATGCCTATGTACCAAACCCTAACATATAGTGACTTTTCTTTTTCTTGCTGAAAATAATAATGAGTAACATGATTTGCACTGTTAGTGGGTATTCCAACTTCGAATCATTTTTTCCATTTCAGACGTCATTATTAACCCTCACTAGTAGATATTCTCACACTCTTATAAAAAATATTTCGTTTTCCTCGTGAAATTAAAAAAATTTGTATTTTTTATAATTAAAAAAGAAAACAAGTAAAACATATATTTAATCAATATACTAAATCTAAAACCCTAAATCCAAAAAAATCCCCAAAATCTTGAAATTTTGTCATTTTGGGTCCTAAAAAAACTCATGAAGTTTAATGAACTGAAAAAAACAGGCCACCAGCTTTTTGAGGCTATAGCTTTATACAAAAGCAAAGGCAAAATGTATGGAAATTTCAGAAGAGAATAGGATTATTATAAATTAGCAGAGGCAGTTCTTGTTTGGGAGTATCTACAAGGAAATAAATACATCACAAAGTGTTTGATATAATAAAGCAACTCACAAAGTAAAGTTGTTCCCTTTTCTTTTCTTTTCTTTTCTTTTCTTTTCTTTTCTTTCCAAGTATTGTTTTTGTTTCAGGTGGGTTTGATTCTCTTTCAAAGCATAAACTCAAGAAAAAGCTGATATTGTGAAGAGGGAATTTTTGTTTGAAAGCAAATGATGGGTGGAAACCCTAGTAATTGGTGGAACATGTTTCCACCTAATTCTCTTCCTCCTCCTCCTCCTCCTCCTCCTCCTCAGTTTGTTGTTGGATCTTCTTCGCTTCCTTTCACTTCCATGGCTGATCATCCCAATCAAGAGCATCCCAATTCACAGTCATGGAGCCAACTACTTTTGTAAATCCAAATTCCCTCTACTTCTTCTCTATTTAATATTCTTTTGATTGAATCTTCTTCACTTTGTGTTTGTTTTCAGAGGTGGATTGCAAGAAGGGGATGGAGATGGGTTGGTTTTGAATAGTAATTATAATCATTTTCAACCAAAGAAGTTGGATAATTTGGAGGGGAGAATTTTGATTCCGTTTCCAAGATTTGGAGTGGGGGATGATGATGGTGATGATGATCATGTTTTGAAGCAACAAACTTGTTCTCAAAGTGGTAAGAGCTTATCATTTTTATGGAATGAAAAGGAATCATGTTCATCATCATCAATATCAATGAAAGGCTCTCAAACAAGACCACCACCAACTACTTCTTCTTCTCCTAAATCTTCTGTCAATAGTAATGCCATCTTGGAATTCTCTTTCAACAAACTTGATTCCAACAATCAATTCCCAGATCACACTTATTCATCTGAGGTACAAAAATAACATATTTTCTTCCTTTTTCTTTTGCTCCTTTTCCTTTTAGCTCAATTGGGTTGCCTTTTTTTCTTAAAAAAAAAAAAACATTTTTTTTGTTCCATGATCAAGTGTGTTAGCACAGCTGCCACTGGTGGAGTGTGCAAGAAGCCTAGGGTTCAGCCCGTCTCCGGCCAGCCTCCGATAAAGGTACCCTAATTTAAGTTTTGTTTTTCTTGAAATTAGTATTAAAATTCAGTTGTTGTCTGTGATGTGAAGAATCAGGTGAGAAAGGAGAAGGTAGGGGACAGAATCACAGCTCTCCACCAGCTGGTTTCTCCATTTGGAAAGGTAATTAATTAATTAGTTAAAAGAAAGGGCATAGGTTTAAAGATGATGGGAGGGGGGGGGGGGGGGGGGGGGCGT